GGAAAAGGAACAAAAAAAGGGTTCATACATTACAAAATATCCAATATCATAAGAGGTGAGCTAAATATTTGAATGCATAATTTATTTATTTGTATATGTGTAATTAGTGCCTAAAGCCCTGAAAATACATAATATAGTAGTAAAATGTACAGATGTTCTTACAATAATATAGTAGGTACAATTTTGTTCTATCTAAAATAAATATTTTACCAAATTGTTTAATTTTATTAATGTGTGGAAATCAGTCATTATATTATGTATTTATTATTTATATTTATGTATTTAATATTGTTACTTATTTTCTAATTTTCAATTTGATTTTAGATGTTTCATATGCTCTTCAGAAAACCACAGATAAAGAATACAAGGATGCATTGGGAGCCTGGTTAAGACAGGCTAATAAGCGAATAAAAAATAAAATAATTCTAAGTGACGGCATTACACATGCATAAGTATATTTTAGTTTTATACTTCAAGTATTATTTTTTTTCCAATAAAGTGGTTGAATTTTTGAAACAATTTGTAATTTATCTTATATATAAGATGTTATGTATACATAACAGTGATGTATAATATCCTACAGTGGCGTAGCCAGGATTTTGAAATGGGAGGGGGGTTATAGTATAAATTAAACCAAGTTTTTATAGTTTTCATATATTAGTAATACAATTATTAAGGGAAAAATATCTGAATGGCTACGCCACTGATATCCTTTTTTTTCTGTTTTAACCGACGACGCCGCGGGATCTGCTTTCGCATTGCTTCCGCGAAACGCCACTGATATCCTATAACATCCTATAATAACTTGTGTAGTTGTGTAAATATTTAATTAACTAAACTATAATGTATGGTATGAAATAAAATATTTATACATAATATAGAATATTATGTTTCAGTGGAATTCAATTGGGAGGTTGCACAAGGTTTAGCATAGAGTTGCCTATGTGATATTATATTTACAACCAATACCTATAGATAATTAAACTAACCTAACCTATCTATAGATAATTAAATAAAAAATGTAAATTAAATGTTTGGGCTTTGATATATCTCAGACATGTATATAACTTATATGCTATAGGTAATGCAATAAATATGTAAAACCAGAGAAGTAACTATAGTAAATATTTTCAAAAGGGTACTATAAAAATGAAATACAAATAAAAAAAAAAATCAATAATTATAATTATAATAATAAATAAATTACTATCATTATTAGAGAAATGCTGATAACAATTTTGGAGGGGGGCTATAATTTATATTGCCCCCAACCCCTCTCACCATCATTGGTAGAAGGTATATGCTATGTGTAATATATATTAAATACACATTGAATATGATATGTTAAATATACATTGAATATATGTTGTATATATAAAGAATAATCCCCATTGAATCAACGTATAATATATATATTAAGCTTAATTTGGATATATACGGTTGGTCCTAAATCTACGTATATTAGATGTTAAATAGTGTCACATTTGCCTATCAAATCAACTTTGAATCCATTTGTGGATGTTGATTTGTGGACGTCTATTCAACAGTGATTCAACTGAATTGTGCACTCTGGGTAACACTTGAACAGTTTATGAATATTGCGTTTTACATATTTTATATATTTTACACACGGAAATATTACAATTTTTGTAAAAATCGCACACGCACTTTTTTAATTTTTTATTATATTATATAATATATAGAAATACGGAATAACTCGGGAAAATAATATTCGAAAATATTCACGTCAATCGTCGATAACGAAAAGGGAGATAAGCGAGCGGCGACGTGAAAATTTAGCGAACGCGCGAGAAGTATTATGATTGGTCGTCATGGAAGAAACGCGGAGTTGCTTATTTGCTGCGTCGCGCGAGAAGTAATATGATTGGTCGTCATGGAAGAAACGCGGAATTCCTTATTTGTCGCGTCGCGCCTGGTGGCAAAAAACGGAGACTATTTGTGTTTTATAATATAAGAGATGGTAAAAGTTTATACAATTTAGTTTTTAGTTTCTATATTTATGCTTACCATCTACTAAGATATCACCAAAATCTCTATGTCCTCTCAAAGCCAACTCTTCTTTACCACATAGAATTATACACTCAATAATTGGTCTTATTCTCCTTCTATTTTCTTCAATTTGTACACAAATTCACAGAATCAATGTACTTTAATAATTTAAACTTTAAAGAAAGGGTTATCATAATATTATTATGCATTTAATATTACCTACCTATTATTGTCTATGCGTTTTATTATAGACAGTTCCTTTTTTTCTATTACTTTTAAAAAGTGCTCAGAGTCTAGAACAGACAATGTATGATATTTCAAACTTCCATGAGTCCGAAAAGTCTAAAAAAAAAATGTATTAAATATTTAAGCTAATATCTCTGGAATAAATCATTTAAATTATCAAACCTCTTTTGCCTTCTTCCAGTTGCTGAAAGCAACAGTAACAAGGCTACCCAAAGGCTGGCTTCCAATACCACCATTTTTAGCAAACAATACACAGTATTTACAGAATGTCCCATTTTTAACATTTGAATATGCCAGCCAATTAAATTCTTTTAACCATTTATGCTGAAATCTTAAGCCACGTTTTTCATTTTTTGCAAGCAATGGGAATTTATATTTAACATCTGGTACCCATAGATTAGTTAGCACCTTGAATAAATATAATTTTAAATAATTAGTTTTAATAAATATTATAGAATTAAATTTAAAATATAGACATTAAATAAAAATAAATATGCATAATTTAAAAAAATACTAACTCATTAAATATTAATATATTAAGTAGGTATTGAAATAATTTATCAACTGGTATGTAACTTACAAGCTTTTTATCAGCATCTGTTAAAGATAAGCATTCTACAAAATAACCTATGTCATTTGAATTTATATTCAATGAAATAATTAATTACTTGCTGTGATTGTGAATTCGATGCCTCACTAAAACTTTCTAAAGAATTTGTGGTACCTGCAGACTTATTTACTTCTGTAATGTTTCTTACCGGTGAGTTCACCTAAATATCAAAAAAATTTGAATTTACACTTCAAATTTCACAAAATATAGCACTTAGGTACTTCAGTCTCGTTATTTTCATTTTCTCTTCGAATTTTTTATTGCTTGTGAAGAATGATAAACAGGTATTCTTTTTGATGTCATTGAAAAAGTAGGTAAATTATATCGAAAAAGAAAATACAATATATAAATAAAGTAAACTTGACTATAAAATATCACTTACAATCACAAAAATTATATAATATTTCTTAAATCGTGGTTTCAATACACAATCCATTATCAATTGACCAATGAAGTATAAACAAAACACCGAATAGTATGCATAGATTAATCATCATAACCAATTACTGTGTAATAGAATGTTATTTCATATTATCAAAATAACGTAAATTTGTTTATGATCTAATAATAGAATACAGGACACTGGATACAAATCAGTAACAAGCGTTATCATTTGGTCCACACTCTACTGAGATAAGAGATTGTGTATAATTTTGCCTATATTCGCTCCTTATTAATTATAATATTTTCAGATTTCATTCATCGTTAGTTGTGATTTGTGATTACTACTGATTACAGGTGATTACAGTTGTGGTACAAACTACTTGTAGGTAATGAGGTCTATGGTACAGACTAAAAAAAAAAAAAAAGGCCATGGGGGGTTTCTATCCCCCATATCCCCCCCCCCCGTAAATACGCCACTGATGTACGGTGGGATATACGTAATCCCACATATTGTAACTCCTGAGTTTCATACCTAAATTTTTATTTTTTTTTTTGATAATTGTTTTAAACATATTTTTAAATATGTATATCAAAAAAAAAATTTAAAAAAAAAAAATTTAAATTCACGTGCAACTAAGGTCTGAAAAACATACAAAAACTTGTGCATGAAAGAGTTAAAGGTACTAGCACATTTCGAATATCTTCATCAGTTTTAATATTTATTTCTTTAACTTCATTAACTGCATTTACAATATTTTTTAATTCATTTGTTACAGGCCCAAATGATTTCACTTTTTCTTCTTCAATATATATGTTCTTAAATCATTTTTATACGCTTCTTCAGGTCATCTTTAAGTTTAATATTTCATCTGCTTCCTTAACTGATGTATACCTTTTTCCTATTTCCACTTTTTTCATTGCAGATCCACCTCTTTTTCTACCTTGTTTCACTAATTTAAAAAAAAATATTTTTCATTTCCATCATATCCATTTAATATGAAAAAAAATTTTAATAAACAAATTTATATCATTATTTGGATAGACGTTGACGTTGACGTTATGCGTTGACGCTATGAGTTGAAGTTTACGTTGGTGATTTGCGTTTATGTTTATCTGAATTTATGTTGTTGAATTTATTATAAATTTGTTTATCTATTAAATTAATCGATATAAATCCAAACTTATTTTTCCAACAAATTGAACATAAAGATTTAAATTTATCAAAAGTTAAAAAATTACTTATCTTATCTTTCCATATTTTCCTAATATAAAAATCTGATCCCTCAAATAAAACTAAAAAATTACAATTTTGTCTTATTGATCTTGCCTCTAATAAGGTATAATTCTGGCCAATATAAATACATGAAATATTTTTGGATCTGGATCATACAAAATAATCTTTCATTTTTTCCTGTTATTCTAAAATATAATCATCAAAAACAACTAAACTATTTGGTTTACAATCATCAACAGATATTATCTCTTCATTGGTTATATATACCTCTTTATATACCTCATTTCTCAAATTTGTAAATATTTCTTTCATACCTTCATAAATTGGCTGCTCTATATTTTTTGTAAAAATATAAAGATTATCAAAATGAACCCAATAATTAACAATAATCAGTACGTGTTCCTCACTCGACAGAGCAGCACGTGTGTTACCTATGTAACCTAACCTTATTGCACCGATACCAGGTAATATGATTATTATATAATTATACTCCCAAATATCTACGGCAATCTCGAAATGAGTAGAAATACTCCGGGCAAAACGCCCTCCCCATCAAACCTCAGCAGAGCAAATTCCATACCCACGCTCCAAAAAAAAAAAAAAAACCCTCAACCACATCTACTAACAATTCCAAAGCAAATATATCACCATCAACCGTACCACTTCATTCAAACTCGCGGAGCTCATAACTACCGCGGACCGTTATTGCAGAAAACACCGCCACCGTCTCCGGCCTCTCAACACCTTCCGCCGCCACGACCACGACCCCGGCTGCAACCAACGCTGATAACACTAATTACACCAAACATACTGCCAACATTAGCAAAACCAGTACACTTTTCGCCGCGAACCACTCTACCCACCTCTACCCTCTCTACATCTGACGCCAGCCGATCTACACTCAACCCATCATCGCCTATCGGTACACACAACAAACTGAACTATGCCCTATCTACGGCCAACTCAAACACGCCGAAAATAGAACAGGCTATCGTTCTAAATCCGGTCGACGGACTATTAATTAAAGACTACATTTTAGCAATCGGACAAATTATCTCTCCAAGCAACATTATATTTGTATCAAACATTTCTATGGGCCGTGTATGCGTTTTCTTATCTAGCGAACAAATATTAAGTTCACTATTAGATAAATCACAAAGCAAACTAAAAATAAACGATCACATTATTCCTATACGCAGACTCCTCAATCCCGCTAAAATAATTATAATATCCAATGTATGCCCTTCTATCCCTAATCAGGCTATTCTGGATGCACTTATCCATATAAACATCTCACCATTATCTGAAATTACCTTTCTCAAAGCTGGCATAAAAGAAATAGGATATGAACACATACTGAGTTTTCGACGTCAAATCTATATTAAACACAAAGACATACCGAATCTCCCCGGTTCTATACTAATAAATGCTAATGAAACTAACTTCAGAATTTTCTTTACTGATGACACAATCACCTGCTACACATGCAAGTCGACAGGTCATACATCTATGACCTGTAATAAATATACAATAAACATCCAAAATACCTCTCAGACACCTAACCACCAGGATAACCAAAAACATCAGCCCACATCCTCAGAAGAAGAACAAAACCCCGAACTGTTAGAAAATATCCAAATGCCAGAAAGTCCATCATTTATCGAAGAAGACCCAAAAACCCACATGGAATGGACAGTTAAAACACCTACTCCTCCACCCAAATTCCAGCTCTAACAAACCCCGAATCAATACATCAACACATCACAACTACAGAAAGTCCACATATTTTACCCTCCACCACTAACCAAGATGTAAATATATTAAACACTTGTACCCACGAACAAAACAAAAGACCTATATCTGATACAACTTCACAAAAATCACCTTCTCCCCCAAAATCCGATCAACAACCTACTAAAAAAAACCAAAAGGTAATCCCCCCAGCTCAAATCCATCTACCAAGCCA